ACAACTGGAAGAATGTCAAATCAAAAGTGGTATGAAAGGAACTCAGTGGTACAGCGCAACTTTGAAAAGGTTATCCTTCAAAATGTTTTACTTGCAGTTGTGGTAGCATTATAAACCTTGTAGCATGAACCCCTTAGCCCTATATTCAGACTAAAGCTGAAGGTGCATACTTTCTAAAATGTATTTATAAAGTTGTTTTGGCACAGCCAGTGGAGGCCGCTTAGGTTTTCAGCTTTACACAAAACTTTCCACATCCAGTAAACCATGTGGATAATTACAGGAGATTGTTTGGTTTTCTTACTCATTTAGCACAGTCCCTCTTTTGTTAGGAGAAGTTTATTTTTTCCACACTTGCTATGATTCCTGATTTAACTTAAAATCAATGCTCCCTTACTTAATTTAACCAATAATACGGACAATAGGAAAAATAAAACGAGGTTAAAAAATACATATATTTCATATTGGGCAGATTGAAGTTTACTTTGACATTTTCACCGAACTGTTAAAGCTTTAAAAGCCTTAAATATCTAGTTAAGGAAAATAATTTAAACATTAAAACTCCCCTTTAATCTGTTATTTTTAATTAGAACTACATGCCCATACATCAGATGGGATGGTGGCCAGAGGGCATATGTATGTTTTAGCTTTTCCTGTCACCATAGACTGGTTATATCTTTTTTTGTTTTGTTTTTTATTTTTTTCAATTTATGGAGAAGAGTATGGTTTTATAAATATGAGAGCATTCTTACTAAATCTCTATGTGATATGGACTGTTAACATTTGGTTATTGAGGTACTTTGAATATATTCCCATATTCTTTTAAAAGAATATATTATTTCGGTGGAGTCATCCAATGACGGGTTTTTTTGACGGCAAAAGAATTTTTACCCTTGCACTGGATTTTTTTATTGACATGAATTTATTCCTAAATGTTGATTTTCATGGAAACACTCATTTAAAAAATTTGCAGATATTTATGCACTGAATACTCATTTATTAACAAACTGTACTGTAACATTAGTTGGGTAGCCTACTGTAACAAATAAACTTAGATTTGAATTTATAAGGAACAAAAGTGATTTCATCTTGAATCAGAAAATGGTGTGTTCTTGGCTTATATGTGTATTAGTTTCTGGTAAGGTAGTACGAAATGTGTCTATCCTATGACATACATTTCTGTTGAAGATGACTGGAAAAGTATCAAAACCTGCAACAAGGCATCACAGATCAAAGACTTTGGCTTGCAAAGTATGCTGTAATCATTTACCCATGCAGATGCGCATTTTTCTTGTGCAATAAAACATCAAGAGAAAAATTAAAGGACAAATTCAGGCTTTGAGTTAACTTTTTTTTTGTCATCCTGCTTGCCAATACGGCTCTGGGAATAGATGTCCCAGAGCTAGACGATTGACCAATAGATCTGCTTTCACAAGCAGACCATTATGGTTGTTGCCATGAGGTTTTGCCTTATAGTTGTATCTGAAACTTTGATGAAAATGATTTAGGGAGGGAAATCGTATACAACGGACACTGAGATGTAAAGGGAGGCGAGAAAGAAAGAATGGATGAGAACTAAGAGAGAGAAAGATGCAGGAAGTGTGGAAGTGGTGGCCCAGAGGCTAGAGTATAGAACTTGGAATCCTAAGGTTGTGAGTGAGAAACCCACTGCCACTCTGGGTCCCCACACTGCTCCCGGTGCTGCACAATGGCAGCATACTACTCCCCAAGGGCATAAGTTAAATGCAGAGAGTTAACAAAAAACATATTAGTAAAGAGCAAATCACATTGATGATGCTGGCCAGCCAGGTACTGCTGCACATCTGCAAGTTTTTTTTTTTTTTTTTTTTTTTTTTTTTTTTCAGGAAAAAAAATAAACAAGGATTAACCCAGGACTCGTAATGAGCCAATAGTGTGTCTGTAACTAACACAGAGGCCAAGCAGAAAGCTCACAGAGCTGAGAATTCATATTTACAATCCAGACCAGGCAACAGGAAAAAGCCTTCTCTTGCTCTTTGGAGGGTTAGCATTACCTAAGCGCAAGTAAATGTTTAGCAGGATATTTACATTAAATAACCAATGTTGTCCCTCCATAATGTAAACAGCTGATCCACCAGCAGCAGTCCCATCTTTTCAACCGCTTCTCCCCTCCCTGTACCAGTGAAGAAGGTGAGCCACATCATTACAGAGTCTATGGGATTTTCTATTTTTTTACCACTTCAGGATCTTAAAATGAAAAACTTATATATGGTATGTGTCATCCTCAAGCTCGGGTCCTCTACCAGAGGCCTGGGAGTTTGAGGGTTCTGCGCAGTATCTTAGCTGTTCCTAGGACTGCGCTCTTCAGGACAGAGACCTCTGATGTTTTACCTGGAATCTGCTGTAGCCACTCTCCCAGTTTGGGGGTCACAGCCCCCAGTGCTCCAATTACCACTGGCACCACTGCTGCTCCTACTTTCCACATCTTTTCTAGCTCCTCTTTCAGCACTTAGTATTTCTCAAGCTTCGCGTGTTCCTTCTTCTTGATGTTGCTGTCGCTTGGGATTGCCACATCTATCACTACTGCCTTCTTCTGCTGTTTGTCGATCAACATGATGTCTGGTTGGTTAGCCATCTATATATATATATATATATATATATATATATATATATATATATATATATATATATATATATATATATATATATACACTGCATGAAAAGTGGGATTTTCGTCAATATGCGGCACTGTAGATTGTCGTTGAACTTCAGGTTAGCGGCAGTTTACGACAATTTGCAGGCTTCGCCGAAAACTCCCGTAAATTGTCAGAAATTGACGTGGACTTTCTTAGGCAGTGTTCCCCCCATGCCTCCCCCCCATGGAATTCTAGGGGAGGCTTTAACATGTAAATGAACATGCTGTGAGCTATACAAATGCAAATCAGGGTTGCAGGGGGGGGTTTTACTCCAAGTGACATTTTTCTAAAAGGTAAGAAATCTCTGATACAAAGAGATCAGGCTCAGTATAGCCTTGAATTGATTTATTTAATTAAAGTATAGAGACCAAAACAGATCTTTAGCTGACAGAGCAATACATTTAGAGCAGTAATTATAAAAAAAAAAAAAAATTGCATTTAAGATAAAAAATAAAATGTTGTCTGTCAATATGCTCAATTCACAATAACTTAAGTGGAAAAGTTTCAAGAAATGAGTCTGAGATGATTCACTTTATAACATGGCGCATTATCCTGTTGGAAGTAGCCATCAGAAGATTGGTACACTGTGGTCATAAGGTCCGGCCAGGTCAAGATCCGCAATTGCAATCGCACCAAACAGGAAAAAGAACATCGACAAATTCCGGTTCATCAAATTAAAATATAGCAGCAACAGATCGGTGACTAGAAATTATAGCACAATTCTTATATATAAAAAAAAAAAAACTAACACCGTTTATTTAAATGATTGGATCCAAACTATTGGTTATTCACCAACGAGGAAGAAGATTTCTCATCTCCATCAAAATATTTATTTTATACCGAGGGACTTAAACTTTAATCAAATCCATTCAAAATAAACTTCTTATTACAGGAATGAAAAGAGATGTTTGGAAGTAGAGAACAAGTTCATTCAAAAAAAGCAGTTTTGAATTATCCTTATCCCCGTTACAAAAATCTACAAAAATATAAATATATATTTGGGCAGAAACTGAACATATGCTGGATAATGGTGGGATTTTTTTAATATGTCATATTAAATTAAGCGCTCACAGGGTTCATACAGGAATGAGTGACTCTAATTTAATGCTATTTTAATGCTATTAGAAATGATTTTAATGCCATCAACAAGAACCATGTACACAAGTTATTAGTGTACATGAAATATGAAGGAGCTGCTAGCACAGTTCCATGACTCCTGTATGTATGTAAACACACACACACATATATATACGTATTTACACTCACCGGCCACTTTATTAGGTACACCTGTCCAACTGCTCGTTAACATTTAATTTCTAAGCAGCCAATCACATGGCGGCAACTCAGTGCATTTAGACATGTAGACATGGTCAAGACAATCTCCTGCAGTTCAAACCGAGCATCAGTATGGGGAAGAAAGGTGATTTGAGTGACTTTGAACGTGGCATGATTGTTGGTGCCAGAAGGGCTGGTCTGAGTATTTTAAGAAACTGCGGATCTACCGGGATTTTCACGCACAACCATCCCTAGGGTTTACAGAGAATGGTCCGAAAAAGAAAAAAACATCCAGTGAGCGGCAGTTCTGTGGGCGGAAATGCCTTGTTGATGCCAGAGGTCAGAGGAGAATGGCCAGACTGGTTCGAGCTGATAGAAGGGCAACAGTGACTCAAATAACCACCCGTTACAACCAAGGTGGGCAGAAGAGCATCTCTGAACGCACAGTACATCGAACTTTGAGGCAGATGGGCTACAGCAGCAGAAGACCACACCAGGTGCCTCTCCTTTCAGCTTAGAACAGGAAACTGAGATTACAATTTGCACAAGCTCATCGAAATTGGACAATAGAAGATTGGAAAAACGTTGCCTGGTCTGATGAGTCTCAATTTCTGCTGCGACATTCGGATGGTAGGGTCCGAATTTGGCGTCTACAACATGAAAGCATGGATCCATCCTGCCTTGTATCAATGGTTCAGGCTGGTGGTGGTGGTGTCATGCTGTGGGGAATATTTTCTTGGCAACTTTGGGCCCCTTGGTACCAATTGAGCATCGTTGCAACGCCACAGCCTACCTGAGTAGTGTTGCTGACCATGTCCATCCCTTTATGACCACAATGTACCCAACTTCTGATGGCTACTTTCAGCAGGATAATGCGCCATGTCATAAAGCTGGAATAATCTCAGACTGGTTTCTTGAACATGACAATGAGTTCACTGTACTCAAATGGCCTCCACAGTCACCAGATCTCAATCCAATAGAGCATATTTGGAATGTGGTGGAACGGGAGATTCGCATCATGGATGTGCAGCCGACAAATCTGCGGCAACTGTGTGATGCCATCATGTCAATATGGACCAAACTCCCTGAGGAATGCTTCCAGCACCTTGTTGAATCTATGCCACGAAGAATTGAGGCAGTTCTGAAGGCAAAAGGGGGTCCAACCCGTTACTAGCATGGGGTACCTAATAAAGTGGCCGGTGAGTGTATATATCCTCTAGCTTTTTCTCCGCCTGGAGCGATATAATATATCTGACGAAATTATTTTTATAAGCATTTTTTATTAAAGAATTATAAATACTTCGATAAACATATTTAAATAATTTTAGTGCAAATTAAGGCCTTGATTTAAAAAAAAATGAATGATTTTTTAATTATTTTTATTGATCCGCGGAAACCCTGGTTCATCTCGCGCATGCTCTTTACGATCTCCAAGAAACTCAGAGCGTAGCTAATTGTCATTTTTACATGGGTTCCATCTCATATAGGAGTAATAGGAAATGAATTGGCAGACAGATATGCAAAACAAGCTTCAAAAAACAGTTGCATTGAGATACTGATTCCATTTAGTAAAGAGGAGATAAAATCTATTATGAAACAAAAGGTTAAGGAAAGATGGCAGAAGCAGTGGGAGGAGGAAAAAACTGGTAGATGGCTTTATAGCATTCAAAGGAAAGTTGGGGTAATGAGGGGAACAGGAAGAAGTAGAGAAGAAGATAATATCATATCCAGGTTACGTTTTGGTCATACAGGTTTAAACAGTACATTATTTATAATGGGAAGACATCCATCAGGAAATTGTGAATTTTGTTTTCAAGAAGAGACAGTAGAACATGTTTTGTTGTTTTGTCCAAAGTACTCTGAGGAGAGAAGGAAATTAGAATATCGACTTCTAAAGAATAAGTTACAATTAAAAATATCAGATATGTTGGGATATTGCTCCTCTTCTGAATATTTACGTAATTTATTAAGATTTCTTAAGAAAACTAAACTGATAGAAAGGATTTAGTTTTTTTTTTTTTTTTTAAGTTGCGTCCTGATCCACACTCCTTACCAGTAGGTGGCGGTAATGCACACCAATAAGTTGCTTGTCAACCACCATTAAACAAGAAGAAAGAAAGAAAGAAACAGAGCGTAGCGGTCTGGTGCCACATCGGAGGATGTATGCTTTGCTTTGTGCAGGCGGTCTGGAGCGTCTGGATTTCGGGGTAAAACTCCTCTTGGACGCGATGGCGACTCTGCATCGAACAAGACGAACTCAAAGAAGAGATGCTAGCGGTAAATATATGTTCGATTACTGCCTGCTAGGCTAAAAGCAGCCTAGCCTAAGATAAGGCTAATAGCAGCCTAGCCTAAAGCTACTGCTAATAGTAGCCTTGCA